CCGAGCCGGGGCCGGCCGGGCGGAGCCAGCCGCTGCCCTTCCCGACGGAAGCAGGCGCTCGGGCGGCGTTCGATGTCTGTTTGCACGCGGTGTCCTCGACGCTGAAGTCGGGCTGCTTCACCTCTGCACTCCGAGTGGCAGCCGAACGCACCCGGCAGTGCTTGTAGAACATCTGACTGTGCTTCTGCTTTATAAGCGGCTGAAACTGAAGTGCACTTGTGCCCTTCCAGTAAGTGAATCTGTGCTAGAAGTTGTAGTTAACATCAAATTGGGCTTTCTCTCCTCTTTGACAACTTGCTTTTAGCCAGACAGTAACCTAGTCAACCAGACATTAGTAGCTCTCTTCCACTTGCAGCTTTTGCGTTCACTACATCTGAGCCTGTGTGTCTTTAGTTGAGCTCATTTCTAAAAAGGCAGATTTTTTAAACAGCGTTTTCAAAACTTCCCGTGTGTTGTGTGAAGAGGCATGGTGTGTAGCCAGGTACACCTAACCTAAGTGACAAACCCGTGGTGTTTGGCAGCAAAGCAGGCTGCATCCCGTCCTGCGCAGGCCTGTTCATCAGATGATCACAGGGCTGTCAGACCACGCAGGTGACATCTGGGTTGCTGCACCCTACCTAGTTGGGAGGTGGCACTGAGGCCCTCCCTCCCACACTGCGCGGTGCTGGAGTGGGAGCCACACTGCCTGTACTCCTTCAGATGTATCCCTGCAGCAGTCCTTCCGCACCAGAGGAATGCTGCAGGTCAAGGCTGTTGACTTGTGGGGTCAGAACAAGGAGAGGGGCTGAGTTCCGCAGTGTGCGCACACCTACACGCTCTGCTCTGAAAGTGTTTCTCCAGCTGTTGCTGATTTCTCTTCGGTGGTATACTACATGTCTGTGTTAGAATGGCGTTGCTGTTGAGAATGGGCAGGGGCCAGAGGGAAATGCTGGGGAATCATCCAGGAGAGCTTACAGAAGAAGTGGTTGCAGCCTGCAGCTTGGGGCAGATCACTTGAGATTCGGATGCAGGTGGAGGCCAGCAGCTGTGTGGCAAGGTAAATGGAGGTGGCTGTAGGCAAGCTGTCTGTCTGTGTGCTGGGGCTCAGCATGGGCAGAGCCATGCTGGACTGCCTTGCTGCCCAGAGGTCTGCTGGGGAGCCCTCATTGTCTGTTGAGTACAGCACATACAGAGCAGCAGAGGCAGGAAGAAGGCAGAGAGCTGTCTTGCAGTGTCCCAGTGAGGACTGATGCACAGCACACAGTAGCAGCAGTTCCTGCTTTTTCCCCAACACTGCTGTTGCTCCAAAGCCTGTTTTGCCCCAAGCAAGGTCTGTGTGGGTACATGGTTTCCAACAGGGAGCTGCAAGGCAGCCCAGCAGGCTTTGGAAGAGCACCAGATTGCATGGATAAGCCCTCATGAAGAACTGCCTTAACAGTAAAGCAGACCGATTTCTTGTCCCCGAGAGCTGTTTGTCAGCAGAGTGGGGTGCTTCTAACAGTATGCTCTAACTAAGAGCAGCTATACAGTCAGCTTTACTGTATGAGTAGCCGCAGCATTTCATGGGTTCGTTCAGAGGTGTTTGCATGGAAAAGGGGTTTTAAATGGCTTTGTAAGTTCTCTTTTATCTTCCCATACCCACTGGCTGGATCATGATGTCAGCACTGTAAAGTATAGAGAAGAAAACCCTGCTTTGGGTTTGAGCCTTGCTTTGCTGCCATTACTGCTTGTGCCCTACATCTACTTTCTCCTCCCCAGGTTGCACTGAGGAGGCAGCAAGCCCAGGAAGAGGAGCTGGGGATCAGCCACCCCGTGCCCTTGCCCAGCGCCCCAGAGCCAGCTGTCAAGAAGAGCAGCAGCAGCAGCTCCTGTCTCCTGCAGGACAGCAGCAGCCCTGTGCACTCCACAAGCACGGCAGCAGCAGCAGCAGCCAGTGCACCACCAGGTCAGTACCGGTGAGGGGCCCACTGCTCCTTGCTGCCCAGGCAGCACTGCTGCTCTGTATGCTGCCTGGTGCAGCTAGCAAGAAGGAAGAAGCCAGTGTTTGTCCATCGTGTTTCATTATTTCCACTTGAAAAATAAATTTAGCTCAGAATGGACCAGCTCAGAATAGCTCAGAATTTCATGGTGTGTGGACCTGCAAGTAGTGATTCGCAAGGAGTTTTTCTCTCTTCTCCCCAAACGCATTTCCTCCTCTGTTTCTGCCAGTCTTGGCAAACACTTACTCCCTGGCTGCTTGTCTGCAGAGATGCAAAGTTCCTCGTAGTGCAGGAGCTGTGTAAGGGTGCTGCCATCAGGTGTGGGTCCCCCAGTGCCATGCAGCCAGGTGTGATGAGCCACGATGGGCTGGTGGCAATCCTTCCACCCTACTGCACAATCTTTGTATTGCATTTGACCTTTGCAAAAACAGGCAAAAAACAAACTGTATTTGTTCACGGGTGTAGTGAAACTATGCCTGAGCACAACGAGGACTAAAAGGCGCTGACTCCAGGCAAGTCTTTTTTTTCTGCAGAGCTTCTGCCTGATAGGTAGAGCAGTGGAGTATACAAGAGAACAATATTGGCATCATTGACTTCTGTTGTATAGACAGTTGGTATTTCTTTTTGAAAAGAGTGGTGAAGCATTAGAATGGGCTGCCCAGGAAGGTGGTGGTGTTACTACCTCTGGAAGTATTCAAGAACCGTGGAGATGTGGCACTGAGGACACTGAGGGACATGGTTAGTGGGCACGGTGAGGAGAGGCTGGTATTGGACTAGGTGATCCTAGAGGCCTTTTCCTGCTTAATGATTTTGTGATAGGCAGAAAAAGGAAAAGAAAAAAAAAGACATAAAAAAAAAGGAAATGCAGTTCATTTTTAATTATCTGTGCGGATGTTAATAACAGGTGAATATTCTTTCGAGCTAAAGAGATGTTCCTGAAGGGGTCAGTGCCTTGCATTAAGTGATAACAGCACAGCACCTGGATGTGTGTCCTGTTCCACAGGCCATTTCCAGTAGTATTGACTATTGGATTTAGATGATCTGAGAAGTCTTTTCCATGATTCTGTTATTCTATTATTCTTTCATTGCTGTTCTGTCATTTTACTGGTACTGTATACATAGTCAAAGCAAGAGACCCAGTCTTTAGCAGAGAATGGAGGAAGGACAGTGGGAGTTATCTGCATATATTGAACTAAATTGACACAGCACCAAAGAAATGAGAGGTGGCTTGGTAGGCTAAGGTGTGCATTTTGTAAGAACTGACAGTAGTTAACGCAGGCAGACTCCAACTTTTCTTTGCGGTGGGAGCCAGCAGCTCCCTGCCAGCCCTGGAGAGGTCTGGGGCTCCTGGGAGAGCTGCAGTCCCTGTATGACATGTGTTAGAGATCATTTTGACAGAAGTAATTCTCTTCCTTGGGTAAGTTTTCGGCTTCACAGGAGTCGTTTGTCTTTTGAAGTCCACCACACAGAGCACTGTTTGCCACTGGAGGAGTAATGTATGAAGGAGTCACACAAATCAGACATAGTGCCAGGCAGAGAGTCTTTCCTCACTGTATCCATTTTATCAGCAAATCAGAAATATTGCAGCACCTGCAGAGGCCGGAGACTGTTTTTCAGATGCCTTTGTGACATGCTGTTTTTGAAGGGAGGAAAAATGAATTATTACAGTTGTTAACATAGGGGTTTGCCATTTTCCTTCTGAGGCTCAGCAGCCGTGCTTGCTCTGGAGGGGCAGACTCCTCCTGTTATTCCTCCTGTTTTTTCCGGAGAAATAGCAGCCATCTGGACATCTGTAGGGTGCTGGAAAGGGGTGGCTGAACCTCCTGAAAATATGTTTTGCAGTTTCTGTGTGTTTTCTCTAAAAGAGTTACAGGCTGTTTGAAAACAATGGCTATTTAATTATACAGGGCAACAAGTTGTGATTGCAGGGCATCTAAAGCAATTGTCTTTCTTCCTGTGGGGCAACTGTATTTGGTTAGGCTAGCAAATATGTGAAACCTCAGGAAAAGGTGGTAGAAAAGTACTTAAAATGTGCCCTCGAGATATCTCAGTGCAATGTTTTTAAGCCTGGATCCTTCTTAGTTCCATGTCAGTTTGGTTTTCCATCTCTGCAATGTCAATATTTAGAAATCACTGGAGGACAACAGCGTGGTCATTCATGGGGGAAATTCAGGCGAGAGCTGTGCACACTAAATGGAGGAGACATGCAGCTTTGTACCTTTCCTCCCTTTTGGTCACATGTGGAGAGTCATGTTTGGCCTCTGTGAGATGGGATAGCTGCAGGAGAGGTAATGGAGAGTTCTGGAAAATAGATCTTTCTTTTTTCTTTCTTTTTTTTTTTTTCCTTTGCTTTCATTCGACTAATTTAGAAGCACCCAGAATAGATAGAATTACTGTATGCTCCTACATACCTGCTGCTTCTTCTGTGTTCTGCAGGGGTCTGTTTGCTATTGGCTTCACTTACATTGTTTACATGCCTTTGTGCTGTCATTGGCTGACCAGGTAAAGGTACTGTCAGCAACTACAAGTAATAACCCTGCACTTGTTGTTTCCCTTTGTTACATTTACTATGTGTGATGGAAACAAAACAGTGTTTTTCTTACCTTGCTGTATGTAGTTTCTCCCTTCATCTTGAAACTCTTTGAGGAATGGATGAGATTTTATCTTGATAATTTTGTCTTCTTTTCTCTTCCTTTGCTTTTCTGTTACCTTTTCAGCATGATTGTACCTAACTGGATATTCTGTTTTTTGTTGACCTCTTGTATGATTCTTGTGATTTCAAACACTGCTGCTACAGGCTTTTAGTCATTGTTGTCCTGTATTGAGTAATGGGATGGAAAAGTGAGCTATTATAGTTAAAAGATATAATGGTCTGATTAAAAAAAAAAAAGCAAAAAATTTTATTTTTGAAAGAAAATCCCTTCAAGTCTTTATAATATAGCATTACATGCAGTCAGAATTTCAGTTTTGTCAAGTAAGTCTCATTTTGATCAACTGATGAGCAAGATCAGGAAGGTGCCATGAACATTTCACCATGGAGAGTGCTCAAGTAAGGGAACAGGCTGCTCAGGAAGGTTGTGGAATCTCCACCCTGGAGTAATGGAGACTGGAGTGGATGATGCCTAAGCAACATAATCCAACTGTGAAGGAAGCTCCAGAGGGCCCTTCCAAGCTAAATTATTCTATGAATTCTTCAAAATGCCTACTTTTTTTCTTGTTAAGTCAGAGTATTGAAGTCTGAAAGATGTTAGCTGCTTTGCCATAATAATCGTGGAGGCTGCAGGTCTTGGTGAGCCTGCAGTAGTCACCACCCTGTGCCCTTTGTCATTGCTTCCTCACTGCATTCCAGTTATCATTTTCTCCTCTTGTACATGCTGCCAGTACTTCACCAGTTTCATTTGCTGTCTGCCCTCTGGTTCTGCTGACTGTCCTTCAATACTGAGAGTCACGAAGCCCTGTCCATTGTTTCCTGGTGTTTTAACCTAGCTTCTCCCATAGCCAACAAACCTCTCTGTTCAAATGAAAGAGCAGGATTGAACATGATAAGTCTGTAATTAGATTGTTAACAGCTGGAATGTTTTACCCTTGTTCCTCACAGCTGGATTTGATGATCTTGAAGGTCTTTTCCAGCCTAAATGATAATGTGATTCTAACATACAAAATAAACAAACAAACAAATAAATGAAATGCATCTTTTACCTGTGATTAGCACCTTTTTTTATCCATAACGATCTGCTTTTTCTCCAGATTTTCTTGTTAAGATGATAGTTAAAATGAGAGAAAAAGAATAATGTTTGTTTGGGAGCTTATGAACGTCAGCAGTTTTGCTTTGGGATTAACACAAGCAGGGCTTTGTGTTGGGAAGCAGTTTCTGGGGATTGTCTTCTGCCTGTCGGGTATTTTCCCAGTTGCATAAATCTCAGGCTGGAAACCTCTGAAGACTTTCTGCAGTTCGGGGTGAAGCTTTCCCCTAACAGGTTATTTTCATTTCTGACTGATGTCATTTTGTAATGATCTCAGCAGCGCACTGACCACGGCTGTGATGTGTTCTATTTCTACAGAAATCACAGGCATTCTGCTCAGAGTTCTTCAAAAAGGCATTGCTTGTTAAGCAAGGGATTGTGTCTGCCTCTCTCCGGTGATGGCTTAGCCGTACTTGGGAGCACCACAGAAGAGTTTTGAGCATCTCATTATAAAAGGACATAGATAAATCTGAAAGGATAGAGGGAAGGGTGACAGAAATGATGTATGGCTCGTAGAAAAGGAGACTAAGGGTGGATATAACAGTCTATAAATATTTGAGAGGTAATAATATGGAGGAGGGGGAGGGATTATTTACAGTGCTTGAGACAGCATAACAAGGAGCAACGGCTTGAAACTAAAAAAGACAAAATTAAATTAGACAGTAGACACTTTTTCTCCTAACTAGAAGTGCAATTAGCAATGGAGTGACCTGCATAAGGACAAGGAGTTAAGTGAAGCATAATCATGAGAGGTGTTTAAGAGAGTGTTAGCCTGTGTTCTAAAGTGATTAATATGAAGGTAAATTCTGATCAACGTGCAGGTTGAACTAGATGACGGAAATCGCCTGCAGCTTTGTCATTTCCTGCTTGATGCATTGCCTGTGGACATTGTTAGACTGTGTTAAATAAATCATAGCGTTGCAGGGTTCTGCATCCCTGATTAGGTGTTTCCAGTTAATTCTCCAGTTAATTCTTGCTAAGCTTGCAGCTTCTCATTTGAAGTAATATTCTTCACTGTCTTTGCAGCTTCCCTTGTGTGTAGGTGCCTGTGTTTCTCTAACTTCTGAAGTGTCACACGTGCTTATTAATCAAAGCACAGACTGCTTATACGCTGCATTTCTTCTGTATCAGTGAAAGAGATGAAGCTAGCGGTGATTTTCAGAGATGAGTCGCTAAAAGGGAATGAATTATTTTTCCCTTCAGGCTTTTATTGCATCTGAAAT